TATTAATAGACCTTGTGCACCTTTGGTGGTTGTTTTGACGCGAACGCTAGCTTGAGAGGCTCAGACCGAGAACTAGGGTGAGGAATATACCGTTACTACACAAAGGCTGATGGGTCGTGAGTCCTAGAGCGCTCATTGATCAAAGCCACTGAGTTGTGATTCATGTCTCTCATCCATAGCGTTCGCCCCATCGAGAACCCCTAAAACAAGTGTGGTTCAAGCGGTCAAACATCAACTAAGCCCATCAACTCTTATCACCTTCCGCCACATTCGCTCTCTTCTTCACACAAACAAATATCAAGCAGAGGAGATCACACTCATATATTTGTAATGCACTACTACTCATAGGGTTGCTGAAAAATCCTCGACAGCCCACAACCGGTTTCGCCCTCTTTGGGGCTGATCGCGTAGGTGCAGTCCCCGAGTTTTCGTCAGCCTCATGTTCTACTTGAAATCAAATTGCACGAAATTAACGAAATACACTCATTTGCAAACGGATTTGGTTCTGTGAGAGACTCACCTGGAACCCGGTTGAATCTCTCGGTTTCGATATCTCCTAGCAACTGAGATCACACTCACTTCTAGTATCCTGGTCAACTTCCGTTCAGAGATTGGACTTGTGCCCACAAGCATTCTTCGTTGTCTATATATTTCCACTGAATGCTGCTTCGGACTAAATAAACATCTTTGGTGGGTATATGTGAATGCCCGACGTTTCTTCTGATCGCATGTCAAGTTTGAGAACAGTTTGACTTGCAGATGACTTCTGAATGCTGTGCGATTTGAATCTTCGCTGTTCCGGATGGCTAGCTCTTATTGGAAGAGGACGAGTTAGGGGATTTTGCAATCGCCGGCTCTTTACCATAGGTTGTTTCTTTTACAACCGGAGTCTCCAATTGCAAAGGCGATTTTGTGCAGATCCTCGGTTTTATCCTAACTACCTATCGCTCCATCGATTATGCCTCAATTGACTAAGAGCGTCTCTCGTATACCTCTGTTTCGCTGCTTTTGGCATTATTGGCATACAAAAAAATCGTTCAGCTGCAACACCCCTTCGGTGCCTAGCTGCCATTCTATCCAAAGGAAGCACGAAGGCTGGGATACTGCCAGGTTGCCCAAGCCTAGACACGGGAAGTCGAGAGGCAGAGATCGGGTTCGAACCCCGCACCTTCCGGTCAGTAAATTCGCGCTCTAATAACTTGGTCCATCTCGCCCTCAATGGCATACAGCGGCTCCGATCCTTGAGGTGGCTGCGTTTTCAACGATTATACGACTCCCTCGATAGACTTACGGATACCGCTGTTGACAGAATGCTCCCATGTACACATTTCCTCAAACCGGAAGAACCCGCGCGCAAGAAATCGTTCAATCTATTTCAACATAGGAGCGAATGTTTAGACCCTAGTGTTCCTAAATGAGTCGCTCAATCCTTTCGGATCATAATACTGTCGCTGACCAAGTCAAGGATATGTTCATCGGTCACAACCCCGATCAACGGGCTAGCACGCTTGCAGGAAGTCGATGCCTTCGAAATCATGTGAAAGGGACCAATCAGGATGCTCCTCCCTCGTCGTGATCCCGTTATTAGTAGACAAAAAGTCCCCTCAAGAAAAAAGCCGTCCCCTCCCAAATAGTACTAGTTCTCCCACGGGTTCCTTCCCAATCCTTCTGGCACGGAGAGTATCCCCACATTTTTTCCCGCACACGTGCTCGAACTCACTTCCTTCTCTTTCATCTTCCGATCTCTCTCAGATCCGACGTTTTATGACCAAACAACTATGGGATATGCAGAGCAACGGTCTGCCAAGCGATCACCAATTTATGCTTACAAGGTACCTACTGGAGTACGTATCATGTGTACATTCGTTTGTCCCGCACTTGCACTGTGAAATCTTGACGTTCCGAAGGTTTTCGATTGGGTAAGGGGGGCGTATGTCAGTCGACCGACTTCCTCGAAGGGCTCTTTTCACACAACCACATGAAGAGTGGAAGAGAGCCAGAGGCGGTCAAACAGTGACTTGGCAGCGAAGCATGAAAGCCATTACCAGCAAACTCAGCTGCGCTGGTCACTGCGGTCTTCCTGGATGGGGATCCCGAGACGGGCCACATCAATAGCTAGAGACATTGTCAGACATGGCCCAGTTGCGCCCTCAATGGCGCTCGTGCATCCAAGCTATTGCCTTCAATGCATAGCTCCTTTTCCAACCCCCCCTCACTTGACAGCCCACTGGCAGTGGTGGATTTATGCACCAATTTATCATCTCCCACCTGCAATGCGTAGCTACCTCTCCCTACCCCCCCCCAGAGCATCGGTGGACGAAACTGCGGGCGCTACAACCACTGTGCGACGAGTAAGCGGTTATTTCAGCTGACAGTGATGATGACGATGATGAGTAAGACGGCGATTACCAAATTACCAACCTGCGGACTAGAAACCCTCAATTGTGCATTGACGGTGTTCCTAGGGCCCCACAACACCTGTGTTGTCGATAAATGCTGTGAAGGAACAACGACGCTAAGTTCCACCCGCTGTGAACAGTTCAGAGCTGGCGTCAGGTGGAGCGAAACAATCCGGGTGGTTCGAATCTAACTCAAGTATCATGAACGCAAGGTCGATGGAAACTTGGGGACTGCGCCTACCTGACGAACCTCAAGAAGGGTGAAACCGTTCGTGGGCTGTCGATGAGTTTTCAGCAACCTTGTGAGTAGTTCCCTTTATAAGTATCATGAGGTTTCCACTACCGACAAACCCTTTCACGAGGGGGATCAGATGTTCTCAGCATGACCAGAAATCAATTGAGTCAGATATTAAAGAGAAAACGTAACAACCCAAACGAAAGGGGAAAAATCACTTACCTGAGAAGAAGTCAATAAACTCAAATAGTCCTGTCCGTATGAACGATTGTGATTACGCACAAAACTGGGCAACTTCGCATCTGAGGCGTCCGCCACGTTGCCATGTAATTCCAAAAATTCACTCAAAACCTGCAGATAGTCGTCACTTCCCTAAAAGATAAGAAAGAGGACATCGAACACTTTTTGACCGGCGAGGAGAATGGCGGAAATTTGAAGAAACAACAACCGGCAATAAACCGCAAGTTCTCCAAGCGAAGTAGGGTCTCACAAAGCTATATCTTGATAATGTGGTTTCCCTCAAACAGGTAAATCAAGATAACGATCTAGGAAGGTGGACACGTTGACTACGAAGCTGTAACAGGGCAGAGTAACCCGTCTCCGGTGAGGTTCAATCGACCGTGATAAACTAAGTGGTCTCTGATGGATCAGGATGAAAGCCCTGTGGACCCTGAGACGGTCCACATCAATGGTTGGAAACATTGTCGGACACGGCCCAGTGGCGCCCTCAATGGAGTTCGTGCATCCAAGCTAATGTCTTCAATGCGTAGCTCCCTTCCCAATCCCCCCCACTTGATAGCTCACTGACAGTGCTGTATTTATGCACCGCCTGCAATGCGCAGCTACCTACCCCCCCCTCAATCATCGGTGAACGAAACTGCGGCAGCTACAACCACTGTACGATGAGTACGTGGTTATTACAGCTGACAATAATAATAATAATAATAATGTCCTTTAAGCTGCGCGTTTTTAGCTGAAACGAGGGCTGCGGCGAAGTAGAACTCCAAATGGATAGTAGATATAAATCTTTCTTCTGAAGTCAGTAGATGCCGATGTTACCAAATTTGTTCCAGACGGCAAAATGCAAAACAGGGTTGGTTTTAACTGAAATTGGAGCGCGATGGCTCAAGTGGTCAGGGCGCAAGTTTACTGGTCGGAAGGTCCGCGGTTCGAACCGGGCCTGCTCTGCCTCTCGACTTCCCCTGTCTAGGCTTGGGCAACCTGGCAGTACCCACGTGCCTCCTTCGTGTGGCATGGCAGCTAGGCACTGAAAGGGTGCTTACAGCTGATGGATCTCTTAACTGAAATGACAGTCCAGACAGAAGGATCGTCCTAGCTACGATGCAGGGTAAACACATTTCCTGACTTCACCACAAGCAGTAGCTTATGCAGGACAGTAAGATACTGATGCGCGCGTCAAAGTCAACTTCCACCGTTTGTTTGCCGCCAATACAAACTTGTTATCACATGCTCGTTCACTGAAAACCAGCTGAGGTCCCCGAACTGCGGACTGGTACGTCATCTATAGAAAAACCACCCATGCCGACGTATCAAATCTGATGGATGCGAGGAACAAAAGATGCCTGAAATATTCGGGAACATGAGCCGAACTTCAGGAGGTTTGCAGTCGGTGCCAATTGTTTCACAAACAACCGCGTCGCAACTGAAAGTGGTTACGAAGAAACTGTTAGGGTGGAACATAAGGTTGATGGAAACTCGGAGACTGCGCGCCTACCTAATGAGCCCGAAGTGGAAGGCCGAAACCGGTCGTGGGCTGTCGACGGATTTTCAGCAACCTTGTGAGTAGTTTCCTTTATGAAAACTGTGGAGTAGTTTTGAGACGACCACCAGAGGGATAACCGCTGATTGTTTACCACTGACAATGTCCACTTACAACGGACTATTTCTCAGTGAATTTAGGAGTGATCTCGTGTGACCTGATGCCCACTCCACCTGAGTTCAATGACGTCCTCCCATTGTGTTTGTGAACTTGGATTAAAATAGATGTGAAACATGTGAACAACTGATACATTGCGGTGACCCTCTGAAAAGATCAACTTGGGTTGTCTGAAGTGGCCACCAGCCTAGAGGGAACCACTTTTAGTCGTCCCCCCTTGATTCTAAGCAATAGCAACGAGGTCACTGTGTCCAATGGCTTCTCGTGTCCACAACCGGGGTGGGGAAACTCCACGAAATATCTGGGTTTCACAAACGAAAACTTGAAAATCAAATTGACCCCCCGCTTCGACGTTATTCTCTCAGGTTTCGGCTCATCGAGGACTATACCAGCTCGTGTACCACGGTCTAATTCACAAAGTATCGTCAAAAACATCAGTTTGAACATATGTCACTTTTAAAAAAAGAAAGACTGCCAACTATACCTTCCACATATAACGCTCTTTTCCATACACCAGACCGACCGGTTTTCCAGACCAGGTTCGCTTGTTCGACAGGCGTGAACCATTGAAAGACTCGACAATGAATCCGAGAAACGTGTTATCCGGCGAATGTGCTGTTCAAAGAACAAATCGGGTGTGAGCGAACACGCGCGAGAAAAGACGATCGATCACCGAAATGTGCAAACATTAAACGGAGACCAACAAAAACGTATTGCACATCACTTGAAATGAGGAATCGCCGTTTGCCGAGCACTACGCAAGGATCGTGCGCCACGTCAGCTAGTAATTCGGAAACAAAGAATACCAAGTTTGATTTATCGACACAGGAACAGTGGAGTCAAATCGTTCAGAAATAAATGAAACCTGTCCAAATACTGTGCGAGGAACACGTTAAATGCGTTGATGGGAGCAGTATGCGGCTAGTTTCAGCCTCATAAAGCCCGGTAAGACCAATTGAAGCGGCATTTAAAAGCAGTTTGGGCAGATTCTGATTGGTCTATCTACTAAGTCGTTCGACAATCCCCCCGGAATACATATAGGATATAAATTCATGCCTCACAGTACTGTGTTCTAGAATGCTTTATGGACGATCAAGATAAGACAACCAATCAGCTGTAACACCCTTTCGGTGCCTAACTGCCACGCCACGCGAAGAAAGCACGAGAGCTGCGATACTGCCAGGTTACCCAAGCCTAGACAGGGGAAGTCGAGAGGCAGAGATCGGGTTCGAACCACAGACCTTCCGGTCAGTAAATTCGCGCTCTAACCACTTGAGCCATAACAGCCCCGAAAGATCGAGAAATCGCCAGTAACCACAGGGCCCTGGAGCCTAGTGAGACGCACTCGGAAATTCAAGGGCTACACACACGTCCCAAAAGACACAAGGATTTTGGGACCTGATTTCATCACTATGTGCTTGGGTCATTCTTTTAGAGGATATCATGCAGGATGAACTGTCACAACTCCAGAGAAACCACGTGATCGGCTCCATGGTCAATGAAACTTACTCAAACACGTTTGACCAATCAAGACCAGATGCTGAAGTGGGTCCGTGCAACCTCCTGCCTCGACCATCAATCCGCGCACACTAGCGCGTGTATGGCTTAAACTGACGTAGAAGTAGAGAGAGGCGGACATAACCAGATGTCTCGGGCTTCGACCTTCATTAAGCCTTCTGATTGGTTGATATTCTGAGCTAGTAGGGGCTGTGTGGCCATCCATCAGTCAGCTACTACTGAAAAACTAACCTCCAATGCTAAAAATACGGTTCCAACCAACTTACGTCACTTCTGGTGACCTATCGAAATGCAGTGCACAGAAAATCACTATTCGAATCAAAGGAAATGTTTTAATGGGTTCCGAAACACACTTACGGGGGAGTCTTGAGCTCATGACAGCTCAGCTCAACTACGCGATTTTTACAGCCGATTATGATGATGATGAACGAAGCGAAGACGAAAGCATCCACCGAAACAAGTGTGAGAGACTTCACGAACTTCGCCCACTTGTACCTCCCAGAAATCAATATTCGTCACCCATGGAAACGACAGCCATTGGTTTGTTCGCGGAGCTGTGCAATTGGTTTCCCAACGCTTCACCACCAGTCATCATCATTCGTCACGAAGAGATTGCACCTTATCGTGGTGTGACGGTTTGTGTACCCCGGAGACCCATTGAGCTATACCACGGGGTCTTCGCGTGACACTCGGAGTCTGCCATACCAAGTTGGTCGATGGTTAGAGGTCTGACGAACACAGTCTTTCGGTCCCCCAGGTTGGGAGTTGGAACCTGTATAATGTACTTGCATTTCCAGCCGAACACCGCTACTTTGCGGTTAGGCACTTGAGCCGAAGGCCTTGGTTCAGGACCCTAATCGTTCTCCTGTGGGCGCCCTGGCAGTATCCCAGCCCACGTACAACCATGACATACACAACTAGTACGGCACTGAAGCATCACTGCTAACACTGATGTTGCTGTCTTTGATGACGAGGATGATGATGAGTCATCATCAGTGCCATGAGTTTGGAAGTCTTCCATCCACAACGCAGTAATGATGCCGTCTTGTCTGGTGATGAAATATTCGCAACCAAATTACCCAGCCCGGCGAACAAACCAATAGCAATCATTACAAACTAAGCGAATAGTAATATTCTCCCAAGTTACAGTCGGAGACGTTGTTACAAAGCACATGTCAGGACTATGCCGAGTGTATGTCAGAGCTGCGTACGAACGTGGGAAACGAATAGATTCACTTACGGAACATGGTGAAGAACTGTTGCAAATTCAATTGCAGACCGCCCCATGTTGCCTTCTGTCGATTGAACGCACTTTCAGTGCCAAACGAATCCAGAATACGAAATTTGCATGCGGGGACTCTGACGAGAGATAAATCAGCGGAGCTAAGATTGAACAACGAGGTATCTTACGAATTATGAGTCTAAGAAAGTGTAGTAACGGTATTTTCTCAGCTTAGTTCTCGGTCTGAGCCCCTCAAACTAGCGTTCGCGTCAAAACAACCACCAAAGGTGCACAAGGTATATTAATGCCAGAAACGAAGTCAAGGACAGGTGTACAGCTCTTCGTATATACAGCGTAAGCGGTTACAACCTTCTGGAAGTTCTGATGCGTTCTGGACGCGCCATTGGCAACCGGCATTTGGCCAATACTGGGTCATGATTGGCTGTTGGGTCCAGATTTTGGACCGATCAGATCTCGTCTTGATGCCGGACCGGCAAGCGTCCCAAATTCTTGGCCAATCTCGTGCGGGTCAGGCTTATCGGCCGTAGCAGCGCCTAAAGACGTGTGGATTTCTGCCTAAAAGAAAGATTATTTGGGTCCGACCTTAGCCGAAGTCAACGGATGCAGGCGCATGTCGATTCTCCCGGGCAGAATTCAGAATGCGCTATAGGATGTTGTCAGCTCCGATTACCTTGGTAGACCGACAATCTGATGATGAAATGCCGCCCAGAGCAAAACTGCTCCTAATTTACAAAGGCGAACGGCGACATTCAAGGTGAATGCCACGATCCCGGGATACAATGACCTTCTGTTTGGGTTTCTGGTAGGAACAGTTACCATAACAGAAGAATAAAAGAGCAAACTTAGACACATGTCCTTAGAGTCCATAAGGATGTTTCCTGAAGAGAGGGAGATATAGCGTTGAAAGGAAGAAGGCCTTAGCTTCAAGTTATTTATTAGAAAATGTCAACTGAATAGTTGGACTATTGGACAGGGAAGCAAAACTCTCATTTGCATCTTATTTACAAAAAGATCGAACATCCATCTTCTCTTAAACGCGTCTTCCCGAACTTTCCTGGATACTCATTGACTGTTGCTCAAGTCCAAGCAAATGCTACAAAGCGACTGCACAAATGCCGCAAAGCAAAGCGAATTTAGAAGACGAAAACATACTACTCGCATGCCTTCCCCATCAGTAGTATCACCGTTACACCCTTCGCATAGAACAATGATTTGCTCCTGTCTCGGTGTTTGACTATTGAACTCCATTCGATGAGAATATCCTGACAGCGGGAAACGTTAGATCACAGATCTGCTCGATCAAACAGTGCATACGTACTGGTTCCGCCGCCTGAATTGTCCAAACACAACTAGTATGATCTGAATACAGTTTTAAGGAAGACTGGACTGGCCTATTGCCTAAATCGCCTCGACAACCAACCCACCGAATTCTCTTGACTTCAAGTAAACAGCGGGAAGTCTTGTTCATACCTAGTTGTACAGGACTAGCAACCACGAAGCATATCCAGAAAAGGAGTTGTTCTGATGACAACACCCCACCCCCAGTCTGACCTGGAGAAAAATTGACCTCAAATGAAGATCACCTTCCAGGTGGATCACCTGCATCTCCTGTTCCCCAAAACCTGTGTACACTCACACTTGCTGAACTGGTCAAATGAGAGTGGAGAGTAGTCAGCGCGGCTGAGCACAACTCACCGATGCGAGTGACCGATAAATCTATGACGTAGCATGCAGGTGTGTGCAGCACTCCGCTGAGTACAGAGCCAGCCACTTATTTGGTGCGCGCATCTACCAGTCAAGACTGCAGATAACTGAGAGCTAAGGGCAACTAGAAAATTCGGTTTCCTGAAAAATAAGTGGTCATTTCCGGTACAGGAAACTCCAACTACTGAGTTGCTCAAGCGCCTCTGTAGGGAGAACTGTAGACTACGGGTGCTGAGTTTGTGGGAAGGGACTTACCGAACATTTGCCCTACGAAGTTGTCGGTATCCGGTGATATCGGTGAAGATGAGGTCAACCAAATTGCTATCAACTTGACAAGGAGTTTTCCCGTACTCAGGTATACGCAGACGCCTAGAGAGTGGAAAATGAACAAAACAATTATGAAAGTGATGTTTAATCGATTTTCTGTCCCGACTTGGCTTACGGTCTCGCCTGGAAATTTCAACTTCCTTATAGTACCAACAAAGTACAAGTAGTTCGGAAAAAAAGAATTCACATGACGCGGGAATTTCCCATCTGGGGAGTTGTCATTTATGGAACCAGTCAGCAGGTGGAAACGTCATGCAAACTAGCATCACCTATGGAACAAGCGTAAAGCCAACTTATTCGTCAAGGGTCGAGTTCAAAATGCTGCGGTGTGCTCCATACGGGTCGAAAACCTGGCAAACGCTCGCCGAGGCTGTCAACAGACTTTCCGTGTTTGACCATCGATGTCTTCGGAGCATTGCCCAAGAGTAATGCTAAAGTACGTCAGAAAGATAACTCGCCCAATAGAGATGAACTGATTGCACTGGCTTGGTCACGTGCTACACATGCTAGTCGAGCGGCTACCTCAGAGAGTACTCAGCTGCGCTGGTCGTTGTGGGTGACTGTTCAACCCTGGAGGGGACGCCGAGAATAGATGTATCAATAGCTGTTGCTTCCGATGCACAGCTAGCTCTCCCGATCTTCCCAACGAAAAGATCAATGTCACTCGTGGATTCCCGAGTACTACCTACTATCTTCAATGTGTAGCTATCCATTCGCAAACTCCCCAGATCATCGGAGAAAGAGACTGACAATCGTGATCACCACACAACTTGCAGGCGGTTTTAAAGCTGAAGATGGTGATGAACTGTGCGATTAAAGTGGCGCTACGTCCTGTCTAAGCGTGAGCTATCCACGTTGGTGTTCAACCGACTGTGGTCGAACGGTTGCGAGTTCTAATCCCGATGGATGCGAACTGATGATGACTGTCCGCAAACACGGGACCGAGACTGACTTCACTTGAAGAAACAGGCGATACCGATGTAATCTTTTACCGGCATCGGGAAGCGGAGCGAGGACAAGTATAGTTGCACAGACGAAGGACGCTGTAGCAACTGTGTCTGAGGTAATGTGGTCCACACCTGTCCGGAAGGTTGTGGGGTTGGAGGCTAATACATGAAACCCTATCCGCATGGAAGTGACGCGCGCTACTCGGCACCTTTCATTTGACCCTTACGCAAGTAGCAAAGGATCCACCCATATGAGCATCGTTCGAAGAAATGCTACCAGTCAATAGGGGGGAAACCTGCTAGAACGTAGACTGAATCAACCCAATATCGGAAAACAAAGCATTACATATCGAAGGCAAAGCGACCCTGTTCTTAGCACAGTGGTTGGTTCACGTCCAAGTCTCCGTTTCACCAGGTCACGTGCTCACGTTCGACACCCGAAATCAGACAAACTCATGTTAACAAAGTTCGGTTTCATGCTTTAAACGGCCTGCAAACTTATGAACAATCGTCTTCATCACCATGCAGAACAATAAACCAGGAACACATTCTCACGCCGACTGACATACAACTCTGAGGGAATGAAGTCATAGTAAACAGAGGAAAAAACATGGAGAGGAATGGACTTAGTGCGATGAAGTCCAGGGGAAAAACAAGATTAAGGTGCCTACAACTATGAACAATCCTAAGCTCGACATAACATAGTAATTAAGGCGCAAACGTAGTGACCGGAACGTCCGTGGTTCGAATCCAACCCCGGCATCTCGACTACTCCAGTCTAGGTTTGGGCAATCTGGCAGTATCTCAGCTGTCGTGCTTCCTCCAGGTAAGGTAGCAGCTAGGCAGTGAAATGGCTACAGGCGAATTATTATATATATATATATACGGTACTGAAATAAGCATCAAACTGAGATGTCATCAACAGGTTTCCACCGTCCTTTCCCGAACGCACGTCAGCCGAACTGCAGCTAGACATCGCAG